GCTGAAGAACTCTGAAGAAGTCAGCTGTGCTTGGACATTTTACCTAAAAAACCCTTCATTGATGGTACTCTCAGGAATTCTTGTGTCTGGTAGTTGTAAATCAAACAGGATTTGTACACTATGCAGAAGAGGTCTGACTGGCCTAAACAAAACTGTTGACTGGGTGAAGTGACTTTAGAGATAAAGAAACAAATACCTGTGCAAGTGTGTGGGTGCGCATGATGCATTAACTTTTATACAGAGTGTAGTTCGATATGGAGATTTGCATTAAAGGTGTGGCATTGTTTAAGATGTTATTCAGATTAAGAACTAGAGTGTTGCAATAATATTTTAAAACTTACCAGACTTGAACCAACAACGTCTTCACGATATAAATGTGTGTATTTGGATGGGGGAAGTTATTAAAACGATCTAACTAAATTAAAATTTTCAGGTGAATGTTTGGACATATTCTGTGGCGAGCTTACTTACTTGGGGTTTATCTTTTCACCCTGGTCTTGAAGAGTTTCCAAAACATTTCCACCGTTCAGGACAAGTCGAACCTTTTCATTCTTGTCATCCAATTCCACCAACATGTACTCAACCTTTGTAAAGTAAAATGGTACAAAACAAACAGGCTGCATTATCAATCAGACACACACCACATTACAGCCACTGCTTTGTTCATCCAATGTTCTTTTCTTACTTTGAAACCAGACTGGGACGCCATCACATCAATTCCAATTCATCAGTTATGTTTCCTTGACTTTGACTCTACCCTGTAATCCCCCGTCTGCAAGAGGGATTAATCTATAATAACAGCATTCCACAATGTTTGAAAGGAAAACACTTCGTTCAAGCAGTAGCATGTTGAAGTTTTGTGGACGGGTGGCGGGCAAAGGCTGCAAACGCAAACTATTGTGAGGTTCTGAACGAAATGGCAACAGCCGAGCCCACATATTTTAACATGTAGCATAGCAGACTTTATGATGTCTATGTTGCACAGGGAGCATCTTCTTGAATTAGTAACAGTACTGCCTGGATTATTAGTATTATTTGACAGTTACAACAGGAAAACTGAACATTTATAGGCAGCCTTTAATATGTTTAGCTAGTGAATTACCTTTAGTAACTGTGACACAAACATCTTGTTCTTTAGACTCAAAGAAAGAAGAATCAAATCTGACACTAGTAACGTTACTGTAATTATGTTATCCAAGTAGCCCTAAAGGTTTCATTTAACAGAGCCGTTTACCTTGCAACCAGTCAGGTTCCACTATAACCTTGTCAGTCAACTTCCTTATAGACAGCATGAACTGATGCAAACTGGATATATGTGAAAGCAGCAAACGCACAGGAACACATTCTTGACACACAATAGTGAAAGCTGCAGATGTACACAAGGCCACTGTTGCATCATGCACAACCATCCTTGCTGACAAGATCAGAGGCATAAACAGAAATCTGCAGCACAACATTCCCCACATGCTGGCTTATTTTTAAACAAAGCTCGTTTCTCACCTCATCGCCCCATTTCAGCACATCTTTCTGTCGTTCCTTCACCTTGTTGTAGATGTTGAGAAACTGGATGATGCCGTGCTTTCTGATATGGTCGGCATACTTCTTGGTTTCTTCCCAGTTCAGTGGAGAGCCCTGTGACAGTAAACCCATCGCACAGACAGTCTGGGAGAGTAAACTGACGGCTGGGGTCTTGCTGGCTGCTTAATGTATGTGAACTTGCACGCCGGGCGTTAGCTAGCGAGCTAGGAGGTTAAACCGGCAGGGAGCTAGCATGAACTCTCGGTCCGAGCAAACGGCGAAAACTGGGTCCACAAAGTGCTGTCAGATAGTTCACAGGCGGGACGCGGAATCTCGTGGTGCTGCTAAGCGACGTGCCCTGTCGGTAACCTTAGCGGGGCATCCAGAAGAAGAAGGGCCCCGCAGCTCATCACTTGCTAATGCCTGGTTAGCTCGGTAACTTCAAGCACACCAGAGGGCTGATATGGCTGCTCCCCCGAAGAACCCGACGAGATAGTCAGCGCCCGCTAGCCTCGGCTCGTTTAACGACCACGGACTGTTAACGTGCAGCACTGTGACGGAATGACAGCGCGAGGTGAACCTGCAGGTAGATCGTTGTTCCCAAGCGCTAGCGTGCTCTATAGAGTTGAGCTGTGTTCAGGCTGTGTTGTACATATAAACGCCCTCCTGCCTTTTACACACGTGATGCAGTCAGGCGGAGCGAGAGCGGGCTGACGTCACTATGACTCAGCATTCTTCGCCACTCGGCTCCTCCCACTGATCTGTCAATCAGAGCCAGGTAGCGATGCGACGTTCAAGTGCTGTTCGGAAATAGCAAGCTACTGAAATTTCACCGGGAGGAATCCCCGGGAAATGAACAAAATGTCTGCGATAGAGTATGTAATTAATTATATAGGGTATATTTTTAGATCTTAATAGTTTATATTCTATTTCCAATAATCTCATATTTTAAATCAATTCAAAGGAGCTGTATTGGCGTGAGATGGGGGTGGCAATGGTGCAGTGGGTAAGACCAGGGTAAGAAACACGCCTTTGGTGTAGGAAACCTGGCTGTGTCCCTGAGCAAGCACTTAAGTTAACCCGTAGATGGTCCAGAGGTGTGACCTCTGAAATATATAGCAAAAATCGCTTTGGATAAAAGCTTCAGCTAAATGACTAATTATTAGTTGTTATTAACATCACACTAACATTGGTACTAAGAACTAAATCTGGTACTAAGAACTAAATCTGCTGTAATTATTGTGTTAACAGAGCCGTTTCCCTTGCAACCAGTAACAACAGGTTTGACTAGCCTTTAACCTAGTCAGTCAACTTCCTTATAGACAGTATGAACTGCTGTAAACTGGCTAAATGTGACAGCAGCAAACGCACAAGAAAATATTCTTGAGATTTTACACAATACTGAAAGGTGCAGATGTATCGGAGTTTAAATCAACAGAAGGCCACTGTTGCATCGTGCATAATCATTCTTACTGACAAGATCAGAGGCATAAACAGAAAGCTGCAGCACAACAATCCAAACATGCTGGCTCATTTTTAAACAAAGCTAGTTTCTCACCTCATCATTTCTGCACATTTTTCTGTCGTTCCTTCACCTTGTTGTAGATGTTGAGAACTTATTATTTTAAATATTATTATTATTATGGGGAACTGACATGTACAACGCCAAAGCTTAGAGTTCATATCAACTTCCATTTTCAAATTTTCAAATTGACATTTCACAAGATTAATATGTAATGTAATCTAATTTACTTTTTTCTGTTTACCTTTTCCTTTTTAACATTTAATCATTGTCATGGCCTTATTATTCAGTAGTACAAGAGATTAATAGTTTTCTCTTTATTTTCAATTGCCCCTTTTTGCCCATTTTGATACCTTTACTTTTTACATATTTCTATATTTATGTTCATGTAAGCACCAAAGTACCAAGGCAAATTCCTTGTATGTGAAAATGTACTTGGCAATAAACTTGATTCTTTAAATTTTAATCAGGGGTAAAATTATCATCTTTTAGAGCCAAGATGTCCTCAAATAGCTTAGTTTGAACAGACAACAGTACAACCCCCAGTAATTCAATTACCTTGATATAAAGCAGACAACAGCACCAAACACTCACATTGAAAAGCTTTTTGCTAATAAAATTATTTTAATTTTTTTAATTGTTACTGCTGTTTCAGCGTCAGTTGTAACTGTCCATTCTTGGGATCAGACATGATTGGCCTTAATCTTCTTAGACACTGTTAAAATGGAGAAAAGGGATTGTAAATGTATCACTTTAGGAAATGATAAATGCTTAATAATAATAAAATACAAACGATACTCTTTGTTTGAACAAATCTACCACCCCAGTTGTTAATATGACATAAGAAGATTTAGTCATTAGGGCCCAGTATATGTATGTGGTTTGTTTAAACCTGCTTCTTCCTTTCTTTCTCCTTAATTTTTTATGGGGTTAATGGAGACCCGGGTTCGATTCCCCACAGTGACACCAATATGTCCCTGTGCAAGACACTCAGTTGACCCCTAGTTGCTCCAGAGGTGTGCAACCTCTGACACAAGTAAGTCACTTTGGATGAAAGCCTCAGCTAAATGAATGTTCAATTTTATTTTATTTACTTTTGGCAAGTTCATTTCTTGTCACTGGCTAGAAAATGAAAAAAAAGAAAATGAAAATTGTTGCACAATACAAGTGCTGTTTAATAACAACTACAAAGCTATTTACTTACTGTAAAGCACAGCATTAAAATCCACGAGTCATGCTTAAAACTAAAGTGCGAAATGTACCAGCTTATCAGGAGTACTTAAATGCAACATCATAGAGGCTTAAATGTGATTGTAATAATGACACAGCAGTCGATTTTTTTGAGTGTGTGTGGGTGGATAAAAAATGATTACAGGTCACTGAACTGCACTGACATCTGCCCCAAATAAGGATGCGGAGACTACATACCCAGGACCATACTCCCATGACCGGAACTAGGAACTGCATTTGTAGGACACTAGTTTTCCTTGACAGCTGGCAAAGCAGCTTTCGGTACTACACCTATATAGTACGGTAGTAGTCACGAGAACAAAGAGTACACTCAAAAAACTAATTATCCCTAAAACGTTGACTTTAAGTATTTTAATTACATGTAAATTTTCCATCTAATTTTATTACATAAGTTCAATGTAAAAGGTGACATGTAATGCAATGTTTTTCTATCATGTTTAGTCAGTTTGAATAAATGACATAACTTTCTCAGATTTGATTAAATTAATGTAAACCTATAAATAAGCATTATGTGTTTATTCAATTACTACATATGAAGTTTAATGGAATTTCTACATAAACCTTACGTGTTTATTCAAGTACTAAATATAAAGTTTAGGGAAACTTCTACATAAACATTATGTTCATATATGTATTATATCTACGTAATGCATTTCAAATTAGTTATTATATTTCCTGTAATAAGTCACAAAGCAAAACATACAAGAACTATAAATGGAAAATTTTATTGACGGATTGCAAAAAAATAGTCTAATGGCAAAGTGCACAAGGTTTTCCAGTAAACCTGACAGTACTATGAAGGCTAAAGAAATAAAAAATAAGCATAAAATAAGTAATTCAGTAACTTAAAATGAATTTTAAAATAATCTTTTAAAAAATTGTTTTCCATTCAAAGAGCCTTTTTTTCAATACAATACTCAAAGCGTTTAAAATATGAGTATCCAATATCAGTTTGAGCAATTCCAACATCAACAGTTACATCAAAACAAAAAATTCCCCAAGCACAGCAACAACAATGAGGTGCTGGTAGAAACCTGGATAAGTCTATGAAAAATCAAAAAAACAAACTACCGCACACTGATCTGACTTACTAATGTATTTATTTTTTCACAAATAAGGTAGTAAGTCAGATCAGTGTGCGGTAGTTTGTTTTTTGATTTAGCAAGAGTTACATGTTTACATATTTGGATGGTCATCTTGACTTAACTGCTGACTCACGGCGTCTCAATATAAACACATATGCACTCTCCCCCGAGAACATCTTACAGTTTTAAGAAAGGACCTGGATAACAGACACATTTAAAGTAAGTGCAGTCAATGAGATATTTTATAAGTTAGACATGAGAAACATGAAAGAAGGCAAACGGCCTTATTACGTGCATAAAAAGAGGTCTCTCAAGCTGGTGTATGCAACAAAGATCTCAAAAATGGCAAGGTCCGAGAGCGGCTTCCTCCACTAATTCCTTCAACACTCCAACAGCAGATTTGAAGAAATCAGCAAGTTAACAGAAAGGGGCAATAGAAGATGCCAAAAGTAATCTGAACACCAAGCTGTTGTAAATACACACGAACCAGTGGGGGGGGGGGGGGGGGGGGGGGGGGGCAAGCCAAGCTCAACTATCCAGCACTGTTCTTGTGAGCTCACTGACGCATCTTAATCTTTAATGTTTGCACCTTTGGGGACAGTTTGTTGCCATCCATGTTCATCAAATCCTTCTGAAAGATAGTTCAGGTTGAGTGTGTAGATCAGGCCAAAAAGCATGGCACAACCAAAGGAAATACATCCTAGCTCGCTTAGCAGTTCCACACCCTCAACCACCACTCCAACATCCGCTGGCTTGTCCTCTTCATCAGCACCTTCTCTGCAAATCACATACAGCCCCATGGTGGTCTGTGCAATCTCTCTCTTAGCTTCCTCACTGTTGACATCCTAATGGTGAAACATAAATTGACAATTTTGAAATAAAGAAAAGATTGCATTTTTAATACTAAGAGTGCACATTAAATGTTGATACTGACCAAGTACTCCTTGATGAGTGTGTTGCTGTCCTCATTGAGGTAAACACACAGGCTTCTGACGACACAGCCCCTCTTCATCTCAATGTCTTCACTCTGAAAAAAAAACAAAACATACATAGCACCTCTGAACCTTTAGCCCTGTTGTTGTCCAATCAAAACTGTGCTACAAGTGTTGTGAAGAAAATACAATATCCCTAGGCCTGGGGTCTGAAAACAACAGTCAGGTAGGGCTGGACAATATGGCCAAAACAGTTATCACAATAAAAAGTTTCATATCTTTCAATACTGATAATTATCACAATAAGTATCAAATCTCCTGAGTGAAAGTTGAAGGAACCTGATGGTTAATTGTGGTTTAAACTCTTCTTTATGGTCAACACCTGATGCCTAACAGCGGATAACTTAACAATCTGAGGTAGAACATTCAAAACAATTATGACAAAATCTTTGTCAACAAATATGCATGAGTACATTTAAGTAAAAGCTGTTTACAGTCCTTTTTCCTCAACAAATACAACATCTTAATAAAAGTTAAGTCCTAATTTGTGCATGATTCAAGTGAATAAAATAATTAAAAAAAAAAAAATTGTTATATTGTTATTGAAAAAAAATAACATCGTGATAATTATTGTTATTGTTTTATTGTCCTGTCCTACAGTCAGAATGCCACACTGATGACCAGATGAAACTAAGCAACAGTTACTGATACAAAAGCTAAAGGGTTCTTTTGATAAACCTGCAATTATTACCTCCTACAAATTGCCTTAGCTGTTGGAGCCATGAGGAATCGGATCTTCCTTCCAGCAGCTCCTCCTCTACTGCTGAAGACCTTGATTAAGTTGGCTGCGTATTTGTCAAGCTGTGCCAGGAACTTGGCTTGAAGCGGTGAAGTTGTTAGACGCATGAATTCTGCATTCATCTATGACAGAAACGGTGAAAGAAAAGAGATGTACATGAGGAATTATTTTCTGAGTTACAAAAAACAAAACAAAATAACAAGTCACATTTGGACACTTTGGACTATAAAAAGCAAATATTGTCTTCGTATTGTCATATAATTGTCTATAATTTCAGCCAATAATATCAGATAATATAAAATGGGCTGAGAATTAGTGCTGGGCAATAAATGTAATATTTCACTTACAAGGTTTCTACTGTAAATATCCTCAACTATTAAAGCTGGGTTTATTTATTCACAGATTTCACAAATCCATTAGGATCTAAATGTTAATTGATAAGGTAATGTTGTCGTGCACATTACAGAGACATGGTTTCCCTATATTCGAGGCATTGCCGCTGCTGAATTATACCACTGCTATTAAAATTTCACTCAATTATTTAATATTAATGCGGAACAAATTATTTTCATCCGCACACTGTGTGAGCACGGTAAACCAGGCTTCGCTAGCTTCCTTTCCTCATTAATCTAAGGACATCTACGTGACAGGTGCAGTTATCAGAGCAGCGGAGTTTAGTCTTTTAACTGCAGGGCGTGTGTTTGCGTAGCGATTGAGTGGACGAGCGAATGAGAGAGAGCGAACGGCATAAAGTGACGCTGAAAGCGAGTGAGTAATCAGATGTCAGTCTGGCAGTAGATGTACAGTGTAGGTCACAGTGTGTCCGTTAATAGAAGTCTGTCTGTCTTTTTCCACAGACGGCGTACTGCCGTACCTGTGATGGGTTTTTATAGCAAGGTATCAACAAGTGTGAAGTCCGCTCTTCCCCCTCCATCTGCATGATACTGCTGCGGTTGAGGGGCTAACTAAGCGGCGCTAACTACAAACAGCCACAGCAAAACTAGCAAAAACTGACTTCACACAAATCCATTCCCAAGCTCCTTCACCCATAGTCAAACACACACGGCTGCTTATTTACTGCTGAATCACATCAAAACCTCGTGCTAACGGCTGAAGCTAACGTTACTCCTGTGCATACTTTATGCTAGGTACGAATGTTTTACAGGCTAACGTTAGCAAAGCATTGCACACACACTTGCATTTACCAAAAAATGTCTTTGTAAAACACATTTAAATCGATGTACTTCTAAAATGACACATTGCTACACAGTAAAACAACAGATGAAAAACGATTGGACTTACCTTATAAAACTTTAACGTCACGTCCATGTTGTCCCGCTCACTCAAAAGAATACAGGGCAAAGCAGAATATGCGCATGTGCAACAGTAGGACATGCGCGCAGCCTGCTTTTGGAGCTAGTAAAGTTTATTCGATTTGTTTACTTTCAGTTTATATTAAGCATGTTTAAGTTGTGTTTAATTATTTTAACTACATACGCTTTTGATATTATGTATTTTAGTTACATTTTACATAAAATATCACTTCATATTTATGATGGCCAAAAATCATTCTTAAAGTTTACTCTGTTTGTTTACATTCAGTTTATATTAAGCATATTTACGTTGTGTTTAATAATTTTTAATAAATGAACTTTTGATTGCATGTATTTCAGTTACATTTTACTTAAAAGTATTGCTTCATGTTTATGATAGCCAAGAATAATTTTTTTGAGTGTAGGCATCACAAGGCCCCTGGAAATTTGGTAAGTGCTGGTAAGTATTTTTTATAGCATTAAATATTCATGACTAACTTTCAAATATTGCTCGACTCTGAGTGGTGCTCAGAAGTATGTGACATGTCAGACAAAAATGTAACCCCCACCCACCCAAATGGTGGAGGCAGTTGGCTGGCCACCCTGAGTAGGTTCTGCTCAAGGTACCGGTTAAAAGGAAGTTTTCCTTCTTTGCCATTGTCACCATGTGCTTGGTAAATAATATTACAAAGAGTAGATCTGTTCTATATGAAAAGTGCAATGAGATAACTGATGTTATGAATTGGTGCTATGTAAATAAAATTTTATTAAAATTAAACTGAATTAAATTGAAAAAAAGAAAAACCTTGTTACCCATAGCAAGAAACTGATTCTGTCCTTTAAGATTGATATTAAAGGCTGCAGAGATGCTTCACTCTTTGGGACTAATGGTCCCCAGAGAGTATACCAAAAATGATGTATTGTGCATAATGCAATAACTCCTTTATGTATTCATTAGGCTTGTGTTACATGCCTGAATGTCAAGTATGTATACAGTGGAAATGAGGCTCCAGCCCTCCTCACAGAGCTGAAATATTTATGGGTTTTACTGTCAAATTAGAGGCAGACTTAACAGCTACAAATAAGCTTAGATAAGATAAGATAGACTTTATTGATCACACACTGAGGAGATTTACTTGTAGTAAACAGCTGCAGTATTACTCACTGGAGGCTTGAGGGTATTCACTTTTTTGGGGTTAGGGTTCCTCATGATTCATTCTGAAAATGGAAATGTAGCCCTCTAAATGACCTCTTCTCTTGTTCCTCCTGGTCCACAAATGCTGCAGTGAACACCATGCAAATCTGGTGAAACTAAATCCTTATATTGCTGTTTTCATAACATATTGACACTTTTCATCAAGCCATATAATTTCCCAAGAGTAAAAGACACCACTAAAAAAGGGAAAATAGATATGTATTGACATTAGAAACATGTAGAACTGTTGATTTATGTTGGTCAAAAACACACCTGAATCAGAAGTGTGACACACAAATACACCCCTTTAAAACACATCACATGATGTGACATGACATGAAATGAACAGAATAAACATTATTTTAAATAAATGACCATCGCACAGAGTAGCATACACTTCATCTCTTTAATTTAAAAACAAACAAACATTTTTTTAAAGACATGAGCAGTCAGGGAATTAATTGAGTACTAACCTCCAGGAAAGCTCAGGCTGACAACATCATTCCCATCAGTTATATTTTTCCTTTTCTTTTTTACAAAATTGTTTATTGCTGTCACATCTAAACCCATTCGATCAACCCACTCATCATTCCAACATTTTTCCATCATAATCCTTTTTCCTCGCGCCAGTAAGTGTTTATGACGATCACGCAACATACGACACGAGACCACTGAATACTGTACATGAGACACATGTAGAGAAACTGCTGCCCGTCTGTGCAGTGTGTTTAAACATTAATCACAAACACCTACTCCTGGTAGGTGATGCCAACACTTACTCCAGCTCTAGCTCATTACTCTGGTCAAGTATCTAAGAATCACAGTAGCTATAGTCAACAGGACTGTCACTAAATCCTTCAATATTATTGACTGTGTTGTTCACAAACAACGCAATATTATTAATTTAACGGCACTGGATAAAAAAAAAAGACGGTTATGTTACAGATTAATGTTTATAACAGCATTCATTTAGCTTTTTTTTTAACCTTTTATTTGACTTTTATTATCCCATCTGAATTGGCCCCATCATTTCCGTCTAAAAATGATATTGTTTATTGACATGTCCATTTTGTCTCTGTCATGGACATTACCAGACATTAGTGATGCCATTTATACTAATTAGTAAACTATAAATACTGAAAATACATTTCAAGGCTTCTGAATTCTCTTTTAAAACGCTAGCACTGGCTCCAATGTGTTTGTTATTAATGGGGTTTATACAAATGTGTTTCCAAATTTGTAATCCTTGCATTTTTATCATTTTTGCTCATCTAAATAATGATCACCGTTTAAACTGATCATCTTGGCCCCAAAAAAGGGACGTCTGTTAGAGTTTAGAACCAAGATTTATGCAACAGAACTGCTGGAGACCTTTGGACACGTAAACTACATCATTATTGTCATCTAGACCCTTATATACTGACTGGCGCAGAAGACACTGAACTGGCTCTGGACTCCCGTGTTTTCCGTGTGGGAATGGTGACCACACAGCATGAGATGCCGACTGTAGCTTCTGGCAATTCATCATCCTCAGTCCATTCATTGAGGTCAGGGTTGTAAACCTGAATGCATTTCTTGTACTTCTTCTCGCCCTCGTTCCAGCCTCCGAGGAGATAGATCTTGCTGTTCAAAATGGAAATACCGGCCGTGCTCACTCCCGTGTGAAGAGGTGCGCAGTAGCTCCACTGCCCATTGTGAGGGTTGTATGATTCAACAGCGAGGACATCCACCCTCTCCCCACGACCTCCCAGCTGACTGCCACCGATGACATAAGCTCTGTCTCCCACTGTGGCAGCGCAGTGCCAGCCTCGGGGTGTGCTCAGGCTGCTCTTATCGTACCAGGTGTCGGTGGAGGGATCATACGAGCACACCGCCCTGGAGTAGGCGTTGTTGATGTAACCGCCGGATACAAGGATCTTGCCATCGATGAGGGAGCTGGCATGACAACAGCGGGGAATCTCCATGGGAGCTTTCATTTGCCACTGATTGGAGGAAGGTACATAGCACTCCACTGAGGCCTGAACGCCATCAGCGTTTCGCCCACCGATGGCAAACAAGAGGCCGTTGAAGGTGTTGAGGCTGAAGTGGGTGCGCCTCTGGATCATGTTGCTCAAGTGATTCCAAGTGTTAAAGCGGGGGTCATATCTAAAGAATGTGAGAGGGATTTATAGTTATTTTCTAGTCCTACGCAAACTAATATGACAAACCCAAAAATAAAGATTAAAAGTCACGATTAGTTCTTACCTGCAGAAGTTGCTAACAGCATGTTTAGCCTGGTTCCTTGCATCATTCTGGTCCTCACCACCTGCCACGTAGAGGAAGCCATCCAAGACTGCAACACACTGATTAAAGCTCTTTGCTGGCATTTCTGTCAACTTATTCCACACGTTATCTTCATCTCTGTAGAGAACGTCTTTGCTGAGAGATTTCTCTGTCAAGGCAGGGCGTCCACCGACTGTGAGTATCACCTTGAGGCCACCGCGTACCTTTGTTCTGCGTGACTGGAGGATGTTCTGTTGGTATGGCAGCAGATGGTAGTTCATGGCGTCAACAAGGAGACGGTGGCACTCGGGGTCTTGCATCATCCGTGGCACGCTCTGGACGTGATTCACCAGGTCTTGGGCAGAGATTGTGCCGAAGCGGATGTGAGTTAGGAGATCTGCCGCGTACTTCAACCTCTTCTCGTCAAAGTCCAACCATTTCATAGCGATCTGGAAGGCCGTGATCTCGGAGGGAAGCTGCAGGGAATCATCTGAGAGGAAATCACTGATCTGCTCATAGGTGAGCTTCAGGAACTGCTCCATTTCAGAAAACTCAATGAAGTTCTCCCGCATGAACTTCTGAGCTGCCTCCTTGGTTTCTTTGAGGTCATAGGCATCAGCAATGTTGGCCACATACATGCAGTTCTCCACGCTGAGCTCCTGCATGAGGAAATCACTGCACATCTTCACCAAGGTGCCAATCTGCAGCAGGATGGCTGCAGCGATAGTGCTGCCGATGCTGTACAGCGACAGGGTAAGCTTTCCAGAGTATGCGTATGTGATTGCAGTGGCAAGGCCAACGGGTGACAGGTCGTTCAGCTCGATCTTCTGGAGCGACGAATCCTTCTTTAAGATGTTTCGGATGTGCTCGCTGCAAGAGGCCATGACAACCTTGTGCACATCAAAAGACTTTGACTTGGTGGCGACTGTCAGATCACAGAGGAAGCTATCCTGTCTCATATTGCTCAAACCCTCCAGGAGGTTTGGGGCATATACAGAATCAGTAACCTCAGTTGAAATGCAGCTGAAGCCATTTCCTCCTTCTAACAGAGTGTTTAACCCGTTGATCTTGTTGACAGGGCTGTCCTCAACCATTATGGTCATTTCATTTATGTCTCCTTTGCTCTTTTTGGTGGCCTTGTTCTTTTTGGGTGCCATGGCTGTAGCAGCAGAACACAGCCCAGACCTTCTGAAAATATAAAAAAACATGACAGACAAGTGTCAGAAAAGATGTATCATATCAGTCATAAAGTCACATGCTACAGATAAACTTGTAACAGATATGAATGAAAAAATCCCCTAGATTTAATCTGGTCTGCTCTCAAACTATGTTTAAAATGGCCTATATTGCTGAAACTTAAGTTTTAAATTATTTCACTTGTATGCTGTTGTGAGCTGTGCATTTGCACTAAATTTGAGGTCATGTTGCTCTTGTATCATGACTGTGTACTGTTTACTTTGCCCTAAACTGAGCAATAATGTCAAATCCCAGTACATTAAATTTGTTGGATCTAAGGAGAAATGTTGTCTTCTATTTTGGAGTTAGAGGAACTTATTTAGACACGACCAGACACTGACACCCTTCAAAACATTTGTGCTGCCAGGTGATACTGGAGAGAGTGAGTGGGTCAACATGCACCTCTTTGCATCTGTCACAATTTATCAGCAGTATGTCCAGGAATAGCAACGCTGGACAGCTCACCCATGAGGTTCCTTTTATAGACTTTGAGACGCAGGCCTCATGTCCTCTGATTGTTTAAGTTCAAATTAGGGCAAACATTTTTTGTCTCTTTTATTTATGCTATTTAAATGTTTTAGTTTCGTCTTGAATAAGTTTGCAATTAACACAATCTATAAGACAAAAAAACAAGTTTCATAAAACGCCACTCCTTATTTTACCACAACCCTAGAAAACTTGAAGCTTACTGTCACCATGGCGATGTGTAAAAACTAATTTTTCAAAAAGGTCAACAGCTTCAGATTATTTATTAGCCCTTTGAAGCCTAAGTAAGTAAGAAAGAGCACGTTTTCTGTTCTAAAATGAATGACAAACGCTGAAGCATTAAAGTGCACCAAATTGCCTTTTCATTATTAAAATGACAAACAATCAAGCAGCAGTAGGAAAGCTCCACTTACCTGAGAAATGAAGTTGAGGCTGGTGAAGAAGGAACTTGTGCCTCCAGTTACTGGAGCAGGAGAGAGAGACCAGCAGTCACCCCAGCAGAAGGAGACATGCAGTTAACTCCTCCTCTTGGGTTGTGAGTGCCAATCAACTATTGTGCAATGCATGTGGCAGAGGGCAGGGACCATGCAACCCCCCCCCCCCCCCCCCCCCCCCCCCACACACACACACACACACACACACACACACACACACACACACACACACCTCCCACCATAATGTCCCACAATAGCCAAGGTAGGTTGATGTCAACATACTGTGGGGGCTCGACCTATAGCCTCAATGGGAGGAGTTCTATTTGACCACTATTTAGAAAAATGTCAAAATCTCTCAGTGGTGCAAAGAGCATGTTATATAAAAATTAAATAAAAATGATTTACAATACATTACACTTACAATACTAAAAATGAAAGTAAAAATTACCTTGATGTATGGTTGAACTTAATCTTATAGACAATCTAAATGGAAATCAGCAGAATTTCAAAGAAATTTAAGAGAAAATACAAATTAAAGTGGACAGAGGACACTTACAATACTTGTGCACCACTTAATTTCCAGCACATTTAAAGCTAGGACAGGCAATGTTGGAGAAACTAGCAAGAGACAGCTAGATTTGGAAAGTATCCAACAGGAAAACACATTTTTTAATGCACAGTAAGGTAGACAGGCAGGCATAGACCCTTCAATCTTTTCGGCTGAATGAATGCTTATTATAATCCTGAAACAGCCACAGATCTAAGATTATTTTCATTTTTTCGTCAAGAGCATTAGATTTATAGATTGCTGCCGGGATGTAAAGAGTGTTTCAACAAATATAATAAAAAATTCTTCTGAAATAAATTGCCTACCCCAGCTTTAATAATGTGTTTGCTAAAATGCAGAATCCTGCAGCAGCTCTCTGTGCAGAGGACATACAAAAGTTTAAGGAGACATGGAAAAGGTGAATTCCTTAGTTTCAAGAAATGTAAGAGTGACCCACCTCAGCTCATATTAGCTGATGTGTTGGTTTATGAAACATAAAAGGTGCATGTGCTCAGAGTCATGCATAAAACTCATGGATCTCTTTGGGTATAAATTCTTGGAAAAGAGAGCAGGATTTAGGGCTCCTACTTTCATCACATTAGGAAAAAAATCGTTATGCATTAGCCTACTTCCGACATAAAGATGAGAAATCTCTCTTTCATGAGCCCAATATGTCCATGTAGGCTATGTATTCTTCATGAATAACAACGTCTATTTTTGTCACATATTCATATTCACTTATTTCATATAAATTTTTATATTATTCCTAACAACATTTCTGCCATTGGTTCGGCCCATTATAATAGTGTCATCAAGGGGCGCGCGCTGCCCGGTGTGTGTAGACGGTTGCACGTGAATCGCCGTGATGGCCAGCAGCTCTGATGTGGTGAAGAAAGTCACGCGGTTCAAACTTCAGCTCACAGACACAGCAGAGTCTGCTACGGTAGATGCAAATGCTTATTTGTTTCATACAAGTGTAGCGCAGTAAAGAGAGTAGAGCTGAAGGGCAAAGCTGCCGCACCATTTGCATCAGACGTTCCCGTTTTTTTAAAAAGATGTTTGTCTTCTAGATATGATGATAGGATACAGCTCATTATTGCACCTGCAACATTAACTTTTTCATTCATGGCTTTGTTCCGTCGTACTAGTTTGCCGTAGTTTTATTTAGAAACAAATAAAACGCCACTTTGACCGACCGCAATATCCATTCATTTAGTGTTTGGTCTAAATATGAACCTACCAGCACCTGCTGTCACAGTGGACACTGTAAAAACGTGAACTTAACTATGATACAGACTCGTCTCTGTCAAAAGCTTTCTAGATTTCGTTTTGCTCGTCTTGCATCCATGACAATGTGCGGAGAGAGGCTGATGATTGAGAGCTGTTTCAGTCTATGACGTGCGCTGCTGCCACACCGCATTTGAAGCACTTTACTGCGGGGGGTCAGGTTGTTTAAATGGGAGGCGCCTCGCTGCTAAAATTGGCAACTCCTGCAGTTGTTCAACTTATGGCGGCTGTCCATCACCGGTGACGGCTGGTGCGGTCTGCAGGCTTGTTCGAGTCCGTTTAACGTGCAGATGGACTTAAAGATTAGCCAATGTTGAAGTCAGATTAAATTTAAATGCCCTATATTGAAATTAAATTTAAAATGTCAAGTGCAGTCCTCAAAAAACCCTGATTCAGTTATATAGTGAGAGTTTTTGAGCCCAGCAGTAGCATTATCCATTTATAGTTCGCAGTAAAAGGAGTAGCCTAAGTGGGTGTGTGACGCTCCCATACATAGCTTCTGCTCTGAATGCACAATCAGCAACTGTGGTGATCCAAAACCAGGACTGCCATATTTGGCATGTCAGGGGTTCAGTTTACTTTTTAGATGCTTGTTATATATATATTTTTAAGTTATTTCATTAGATTTATTTAATCAAAGCGATGTACAAGAAGTTAATTTCAATCATGTGGATACAATCCATAAAAAACTGCAAGAGTCATCATGCAAGTAGGCTACATCAACTTCATCAAGAACTGCTTCAAGTGCTGCATTTAGAAACAATAAGAGGTAGAGAGAGATTGTTTAATGTGCAGTCCGAACAGATGAGTTTTTAGTCTGCCATGGAAGATGTGTATTTCCTTTTTCAACAGTCAAGCACAGTAATATACCTTTTTAAATGGTGGTTGTGAAATGTTCAATAGCATGGTCACATAACTAGAGGGATTAATATGTTTCTTACTTTCTTTTCAGGTTCTAAAAATCTTGCAGAAACTCAAGGATCTGGATATCACATTAGACATTCTTGCTGTGAGTCTCTGTTGCAAAGACTGTATTTTGTTTTCATATAATTGCATAATGAATTTTGGATAATTTAAAGTTTCTCTGACTGCACTGACTCACGTCTGCATATAAATTAGGAAACTGGAATTGGCAAAACTGTTAACTCCTTGCGCAGACATGAACAGGCTGGAGAATTTGCCAGGTCACTAGTTAGGTGTTGGAAAAGACTGGTCCCAAAGGACTCCACAAGGTAAAGTGTATTCAGCTTTAAGTTTAATTTGAATGTGTATGTGTTTGACATCCTAGTATTTAAAATTTAAATTTAATTTTTTTTCCTTGATGCAGCCACACAGAACATGGGGATGTTGCAGAGAGATTGTCTGTTAGAGATGAACTGGATGACCGAAACTGTCCAACTAATGGAAGTTTGATGATGGAGGATTTAAACAATAATTGCTTAATGTCTAATGGCAAGAGTCAGAATTCTTCAGATGAGTCTCTCTTCAAAACGGAGAATAGGAAAGCTGATTCAGAGAAACAATGTGAAGAGCAGACAAGGCATGAAGACCAGAATGAAAATGAAGAGAAAAGTAAAGAACAAGAAAACCAGACTATCTCTAAGAGAGATGACACTTATCAGGAATCCAGGTCTGATTCCAGGAAAAAATTCAAAAGCAACTCTGAGAGTGGAAGATTTGGGTCAGAAAAACAGTCAAATAAGATATCGAAGACATCACAAGAATCGTCAAAGGAAAGTAAAGTATCTTCTTCATTCGAGTCTGGAGAAAAATACTCAAATACTTCCAACCTGGCCAGTGTCAAAGATGACAGACCTTCAGAAATACTGAGAAGCTCGGAGGCCCAAAACAAAAAAAGGAAAAAAACAGGCAAAGAGAAACACACCACTCTGAAGTACAAACTAGACTCTGGAAATAAGGAACATTCAAAAAACAAAAAGGCTAAAATAAAGCATAAGGAAAGCAATGGTGACCCTGCGGAGCCCTCCATGTCTTTTGAGTCCTGCTTGAACTATGACGTAAATGCTTTGAAGAGAAAAGATAGATATGGCGTGAAGAAACCTCCCAAAAAAATCAAGACTGCTTCGAAAGAGGAGGCAACAAAAGGTCCTGGCATGACAGCTTTCAAGTCACATGTGATGTCTCTAAATGTTACATCTCCAAAACAGGTATATTTGACAATGATCTCAAAAGTTTAGGCCATTACTGATTGATATTGACTACTAATCCCTCATATCTTCGAAGATGAAGAAGTCTGTAATGGACTTGATGGACATTCCTTTACCCGCTCTTCTGCCGGAGTATGAAAAGCCATCCTGTGTTGAGTACTTTGAGAGGAAAGGTACTGTAAACAACTATAACAAATCCAGCTGCATTTTCACATTTCATTCTTAACGCTCCTTTTTTTCCCTTAAAGTTGAGAAGGAGTCAGATTTCTGTGACGTCACTGAGGAGTCTGCAGTCTTTACTGGTCAACGACTTAACAAGAAGATGCAAGTGTACTCTGGCGCCAAGACCGTCTTTCTCCCGACCATGATGAGCTTGCACCAACAGTGTATCCGCACGCTCCAGAATAATATTAACTGTGAGTAAAGCTTAAAGAGCCTTTTGCACAGGGCTCTGATCAGTCTGTCAATTTGTTGGATTTATATTTAGGTGCTGGGATCTCTTCTCAGTGCTTTATGAAACTGGCGGAGTCCCGTTTGAAATCCTCGAGCCAGTGTTGGAGAGGTGTACACCAGAGCAGCTACTACGCATTGAAGAATGCAACCCAGTAAGAATGTGAATATGAATAAATTTAGTGCAGACACACACTTAGTGGCCACTTTATTAGGTGCACCTGCCTAGCATTGCATCGGACCCCCATTTGTCCCTAGAGCAGCTGAAATTCATGAAGGACATGAAGGATCAACAGCAAGAACATTTACACACTGGCATGCAAATGATGCTTAATACTGGAGGCTAACATTGTAAATCACGTAGATTCCCATGAAACACATACAAGACACATACACTCTCACAAGTACATACATTTTATGTAGCTACATATAACATCATTGTATTATGTCAGTCATCATATGCCCAGTGTGGCTCAATATGAAGCCAAGTACTGAAAGCCATTATGGTGCTATGCTGTATCTCATCCAAGTAAGTTTCAACAAGTTGAAGGCCTGTGTACTTTTGAACGGCCAATTGCTACTTCTCTGACCTTATTCACTCAGCTGTGAAGTGTGAAAATCCAGGGAGTGCAGCTTTGAACCATCACATCTGGCACCAACAGTCCAACAACATCACAATTCTTGGGTATAGTCATGTTTAGGTGAGCAGTAACTTCCTCCTCCGGACCCCACTGTCATGCTTTTATGCTGAGATGTGCGAGATTTGAAGGAGCTTTGAGGGCTGTTAATTGTGGTGTTGCAGGTTTTTCCTAATGTGGGCACTGAGTGTATGTCATTTTATTCTTTAGGTTCAGTAAACCTAAACTTTATAGACCTTTGTTGGAGATTAGAAAAGTTATGATAAGAAGAAAAACTGGTTTGAGCGTAGGTTTTGTGTTGTGAGGCCTGTTTTTTGTTTCCACAGATATACGTTGGTGTTACAGACCACTTATGGGGGAAACATTGTCAGAAGGACTTTAAAGACTCCAAACTTCAGGAGTATGAATCATGGAAAGAAATGTACATCAGGCTGTCTGAGGAGAGGGAAAGGAAACTCCAAAGACTGACAAAAAGCATTGTCTCTGCACATTCTAGCAAACCCAAAGGTGTGTACTAAATACTGAACTTGAATATATTTTAGACGTTGTATGCTGTAGAAAAATATTGTTTACTCCTTATGTTCTGTACACTGTGTCATTTCTTTTCAGGTCGGCAGGTGAAGATGGCATTTATTCACACTGTTGCCAAGCCACCGAGAGATGTGCGAATTCAGCAGGAAATTTATGGAACAGCTGTTCAGCAGCCTCATCAACTCAGGTGCAGGTGGGTTTCAGCGTCCTAAATATAGTGAAATCTCTACATAGGTTTTGTGATTATTTTGTGTGTGTGTATATATATATATATATATATATATATATATATATATATATATATATATATATATAATTTTTTTTTCTTTCATTTCTGATGGATGTTTTCATAATGATAAAGTTTACAAACAAGTCAGCTGGGGCATTGTTGTGCATCTGTCTTTGGCAAAACATGAACACCTGGTAGGCCCCCGCTCCTCTCCCACATAAAAGCCCTTAACTACAAAGTGATCACTCAACAACAGCAGCTTAGCAGGGTCATAACCTGTCGGAGACTCATGTGATAACAGTGGGTGAAATGCCTTTTTGGGTGAGCTTTGCCAAACACAGGAATTGGAGCAATGTGCTGGATAAACTGGTTTTATTCTGGTTAGAGACGGCCTCGGGTCCTTTGTTGTAAACTGTTGCAACATGGGATGTTAAGCTCACTAACTGAAGTGTAACACTGACATTTGGAGGTGGATGGAGTTTCATTTTGTCATTCTATGTGCATTAGTTTTGTTTTGTAAATGATACTAATGCACTGTACTATTTATTTCTTCAATTATCAGTGTCAAGGTCCAGGACAACAGACCGAGGCAGAGTTGTAATGAGCCCAGCAGGTGCAGCAGCACCAGTTCAGTGGCAAGCGCTACACAAGATCCTCGCAAAAAAACAAGTGAGCTGAAAAATCTTGTTAAGCTTGCTACAATTTTTCTAACTGGCCTGTTCAGATATTTATCATGATCAGATATATTCCTTTCTTTCAAAGGTAGAAATGAAAGCTGTACATATAGACCCTTATCTTTTTTTCCCTGTTCACACAGGAGTTGCTCCAATGATGGCTAAGTCCTTAAAGGCATTCAAGAAACAGCTGGGACGCAGATAAACGCTAACACTTATGGTCTTGGTATTTAGTGTGTGGATGTGATGGAAGTGCACCTTATCATTGATTAACTTTAGGCAATAGAAGGCCTGTGTTCACCTTTGATTAGTATGTATTGTTTGTCTAAATATATAGGCAACTGCCATGTTTTTTTTTCTCTATAACCGTGAATTGTCTTCACTATTAAATGGACAATGAAATGAGCAAATTCATGTGATTTGATATTTTGTCTTTGAGCCTATTTGAGCTGTAAAAGGTCAGACGGTAGGTTATTTAATGGGGTTTGGCTCCCTCTAGGGCGTGTCATGTAATATTTCCTTTTAGTATATTTACAATTGTCTCCTACAAACACTTTACTACACCTACAATGCCATGTTATTTTTGTAAATGCCAATGTTATGATATCAGTGTAACACTAAATTGAACAAAATCAAAGTGAACCCAGTGGCACCTGATCAAATATTTACACCTTTAATACATTAGATTTATTGCTGGTCATATATTGTATTATAACAGTTTTTTTTCAAGCTATTTGTGGATTTAGAAAAATGGAATCTATAAATATATATCGACCAGTTATCAAGAGATTATCTGTTTTCATCCTGTTTGTTTGGGTCCAAATTGTGTTCTCAGTTCTTAAAAGATGCCAACAAATTGTCCAACATAATGAAAAGAAAGCAGTTCTTTGTCAACTCGCTAAAATCCCTATGTTGTTGTATTGTAGGTGGGAAGCCATCTTCTTTAGGACCCATCCTGTCTATCTATGTTTTTTGTTTGAACATCTGAGATATTAAAATGGCTCTGAGGTGTGCGGCTGTCAACACCACCTGTGGCAGCTTTTAGCCAAATTCATACTTTGTCCTTAGATTATTAATCCTTCTTCATGTTTATTTATTGGTTTGAGGTGAGCTGCTATTTCTTGTATGTACAAGGTTTGTGAATGTATCTTATTGCTAGTAAGTTTCAAAATGTTGATTTATTGGAGGCTTATGTCTCATGATATAATGGAAGGTAAGAGAAGGATTTGAAGCCTGTAAGTGAACATATCTCTTTTTCTCATGAATCTGTTTCTACAGGGCAACATTACATATAAGACATACTTGTTATCCAAGAACCAGATTGAGAATTAAAAAAAACTACCCTTGTATTCATTGCTAATCCTCCAGATGTCTAATAGCAGTAGAGAGTTATTGGGTAAAATCAGAGCTGAACTCTGCTAAGCTCAGAGGGGGTAGCAAAATGACCTGAAGGTTGTTTAGAAAGCTGAATTATGAGTCGTGCAGGATGTCACGTGACAATTTAAACAGACTTCCACACTCATTTACTGATAAGATGTTGGACGCATTCCTGCCTTTGGACACAAAGTAAAGCTAAAGGAGGGCATGTTCAGCCAGGCCAGATTACCAACTGGGCAAAGCACACACAAATACCCAGGGGCCCCACAAGTAACAGGTTTATGATATACTGTATATGTTTAATTGTAACTAGGTGCAGGAATATACACAGTATTACTAAAAGGTAAAATTAACAGACATGGTAACGGATGTAATGTGGGTCCTTTTTCAGTACCTGATATTGATGATTTTGAGGTTCAGGTTCAGCTGGTCATACCTTTTTGATTATTTTTAACCTAAAGTACAGTTTAACTCCCACTTTAAAACTATAAAAAATGCCATTACATCTTTTTTTTTGCATCTGACTGATTATAATTAACCATTGAACAGATCTACACACTCTGGTCTCTAGAGGTTGAAGTATTGAGATGTATTACCACAATGTAGAAATACTCAATTAGACATTATGCATTCATAATCCTACTAAAGTTAAAGTACTGAAGAATTAACAGCAAAATATATAGGCCTGTGTATATAAGTATGAAAAGTAAAAGTACTCACTATACGGCAGAATGGCCCTAGCCAATGTTATATTGTTTGATTATACTAATGCTTTATATGTACACAGCATTTTGATGATGTAAAATGTTAATTTATAAAGACAAACATTCTTTCCCGGTGAAATGAAGTGAGGTGGAGTAAAGAAGCAAATACCTCAATAACTTTACGTTAGACCTACTTAAGTAAATTTAAGTAAGCTTTTACTTGAAGAAAGACAGTATACCCTAACGCTTGCTGAACAACTGTGGCAAAAGTGACAATCAAGAGATAATGGTTTAAGCGTACCTAACAGTACAAGTAGGGAAGAATCATAAAGTAGGTACACTGCATCAGTAATGTCAGTCACAGTAGTATTTTACTTAATGTCACCTCAAGTTTGCTAACAATAGCTCAGTATATTACCCACAATAGGCTACCTCTGGTTGTAGTGACAAAACTCTTGAGCAAGGATTTACTCTAGCCTATTGCATATGAATTTAAATTAAATGCAGGCCTATTTCTTCCTTCAACAGTGACATAGTAAAAAGATGAAGTAAGTTACTTCCACCACCATCCTTCTCTACAGCTTTGTGGCGCATAGGTTTCCCTTGTTTCAAACGCGGTAACATGATATTTTAAATAAAGATTCTAAAGTAGCTTTTACTACAGCTGTATTTCAAATATTTTTAAATGGTCCGGAGTTTTTATTTATCCCCCACCCCACCCCACCCCACCCCACCCCCAGGGCTGTTGTCAGTCCTCGGTGCCCCGTCATGGCGGCCCTGTGCGGGACGGGACCATCCAGAGGAGGGACCGGAGGGAGGAGCAGTGTGGAAGGATGACGTAGGATAGGAATGAGGGAGTGAATGTTCCGGGTCAGAAACTGGACTGGAGAGGAAATTAACTCCGGGACGAGACGACGAAACGAGAATGCTACCCTCTTCCACACGGAGATGTAGCCTGTGCTTTTTACGATAAAAAACGAGGGGGTTTAAAAGCGGCGTGAGACCCGGAACGAAGTGGAGAGAGAAAAAAAGAAAACAGGTGCCTACAAACTAACCAAAGTCAGACAACGACGGAGAATAATTCCCATGGTCCTCTGTAGCGCGGTAACGTTTCCGCGACTTACTCACAGTTAGAGTTTCGGTGTTCACTTGCCTGTGTTGGACGGTAAATTTAATCCAGGACTGTCCCGCCGTAGCAATCTGTTGCATCCCCTTCCTCCCCGCTGTTTGTTTGTCGCACGGGTACGAGATTTATCCCCACCTCCCCCGTGATGTTTCACTGTATACCCCTGTGGCGGTGCAACCGTCATGTTGAGATGATCGATAAACGCCACTGCTCTCTGTTGTATGTGCCCGATGAGATCTACCGCTACGGACGGAGTTTGGAGGAGCTATTGCTGGATGCCAACCAACTGCGGGACTTGCCCAAGGTAAGCAGAAACCCGCTTTCTCTCACGGGTTTTAATGGCAGGTTCAGAGGCAGCTTATTTTTGGTTTCATGAAATGCGTCCCTCCAGTCAAAGTGCTGCTAACCGAGCTGATCAGACATCCCGTGAGAGTCCAGCGGGACCTGGGGACAATAATTACGCAAGATCAGCAGGGCTGACACCGTGTGGAGGTGGAAACTTCCCCGGAACTACACCCCCCACCGCTAAACACACGTGCCAGAGTCTGGGGGTTTGGTCATAAAACGTTTTCCTTTGAATCCCAGGTGTCTTCACAGACTACTGCAAAATCCCTGGCATTGTGTCTGAGATGTCAAACCTGTTTGGGCATGTGATCCCATTCTGAGGTCAGGAATACCCATGGGCCTTTTGTCTCTAAACGCTGATGCTGTCAGCTTGACAGAGAGCCTTGACTGTATGCAGAGGGCATTTAATAACTTATTCTTTCAGGGAGGTAGAGTTTAACAATATTGATCAACTCTAAAGTCACAGTCTTTATGACTCAGTGCCCTGATGAACATTGAATGGGTATGAGTAATCGTGCTCTAGAGCAGTATTTATTCCACGGTAGAGGAGAGTGAAATGAATAAAGAAAAATATCATAAAGTGTGTATTGCCAAGCAGGTAGAGGCATTCACTGTACTGAATAAGATTATTGACCTTGGAATTAAGGTTGAACACAAAAAAATCTGATGATGGCCTTTGGATCTTGTGCATAGAATTTGTTGTTAAACAACTATAGTGTAGCTTGTTATGAAACTAGGAGAAGACGACATATGGATCATCATAGTTTTGTCTCACAACATCTTCACATTAGGCTGCTACTAACGATCATTTTCATTTTCACTTGTAAGGTAAAATGAGGCTAGGGATGGCAGTGGCAGTAAAAAGTCAACTGCCGGCCATGATTGAAAGAAGCAGTGAAATTTGTAATGATGTAAACATAACATCTGTATTGTCGATCGTTCATATCGTGGCCCAGTCTGCGTAACATGGGCAGTGTCTGCGCCACATCCCAAACCATATGCATCTCTTAAGTCATTTAGTCTACATACATAATGTCAGAGAAGAGTAAAAAATCACCATCACAATTTCCCGGTGCCCAAGGTGACACCGCCAAATTGCTAATATAGCCAAAACACAACAATATTCAGCTCAGACAAAAGCAGCAAAATCCTCACATTTGAGAAGCCGTAACCAGTGAATTATGATTGATTGATTGATTTATTTATTTTTGCTTTCAAGACAACAAAGTTAAACAACCTTTTACACGCACATTGTGAATAATATAATGACTGAACTACTCCATCACAGCAGCTCTGTTTGTGTTTAATAGAAACCATGAAGGAGGACTGCAGGCAACAGTGTGAATTACTGACAGGCTTGCTGAGATCAGGATACACAAGCCCGGCCTTCTTACTTGTGACCCTAGCGCCCTGGATCAAGTGGGATACTAGTTAAAGGATTTGCATGTTATTTCCCAGAATGGTTTATTTAGTATTTCCCTATGCCTTGAAACTGAAGATCCCAGAGTCTGACCTGTGGGTGTCTTTGTCATTTCTCCCAGAGCTGCTACAGTGAGTGAAAGCATGACTGACTTTGTGGTTTTATAGCATAGTCCCTTTTAACTTTTGCAGCCAAACCAGTTTTATAGTAGAAGTTGCTCTCAGTGCTGCCCTGGGGAGTGCATTTTAAGCCTGAGAAAACTGTGTTAGGCATTCTCAATGTAACTCTGTTTTAAAGGGCTGTACAAGATGTGATTTGTTTAAAAATATTTGAAGCTTCTATGTATGTATGTGTGTGTGTATGTGTATGTATGTATATATATATATATATATATATATATATGGCCCCATTCAGAAAGAGAGAGCAGACTTTGCTTTGGCAATGTAAATGTCTGTTTCCCATGCCAAAAAGGCCCAATTGAACGATCAGAGTGATTGTTGTGACTGATTGTTTTGCAGCGGTTATGTTCTAAAGCGCAAGTAAACATGGCCACACCTCCACACAAGCCTTCGGGAAGGAGCCACGTTGCCGTTTTTTGTGTGAATGCATGCAGCCGAAGCCGCCCTTCATCCTGTCCGCTGCGCTTGCGTGTGTGTACTGTATGTAGCTCAGCCCCGCCCTCGGTCAAACAGACGCACACCTGACAGAGAGCAAAGCGGAGAGACCGGGACAGCGTTGTTATGTTTTTATAAAGTCCCGACCTCGCACACTGCACAATGAATAGACATGAAATAAAAAGCTTTCCAGCATTCAAATGTTGATTTAGAATTCAAATGGCAAAAAGTAAGTGGTACAGGCCCAGTACATAATATATTGGGTTTAAATCAGGTTTAGGTTTAAGGTTTAGGCCATTTGAGAAATTGTCCCTGACCTCATGATCCCTCACTGAAGTCATGGTGGGTCAGATGTAAAGATGTTTGGATTGAAGGACCATTATGTGGCTTTGCGACATTGCTTTCTTTCATTCACAAGCGTGTAGTTTTAAGAAATCATCCCTCAACCTCCTACTATAAATAAAACTA